TAATGTCAACAATCTGTAATCAAGCCAATATATGTAGAAATGGTGATTACAGTCCAGTTGTGATCCTTTAAATATAAAATAATCCCTTCAATTAGCAAAGTGGTACAAGCTAAGGTTCTCTGGATTTGGGGAAACTTACACTTTTTAATTAAAGTTTGTCACTTGAAAAAAATCTCAGTGAAAGAGGTTTTTCTTGAGTAAGACTTCATGAAATTCAGGATTTTCAAAACTCAGGAGACTTAAAGTTCTGTCGCTTAGAGTTTCATGCATTCTCTTTGGATGTGTCTGAACAACCACAAACTGTGCAAATGGAAAATGATGACTTTCCTTCAGTGATTTTTCTCAACAGGAGAATAAAATGGACACGGGAAATGTGGGATGTTTTGTTGGTTAGGAGACCACTGAGGGAACTTCTAAGGTACACCTATTTTAGAAGCAGCCATCTTCTTGGCAGTCAATTAATATTCAGGAGTCTAAAGGAGCTCTAGTAGCAAGATTAGTATTCTGGGATCTTGTCCCATTTGCTATGTGAATGGGGATAAGCCCCTGAAATGAAGTTCTTTTTCAGTTCATGGCTGCACTCATTAGAAATGGGTGAATTCTGTAGGACACTTCTGGAGATGTTCTTTTTTTTTATATATAAATTTTATTTTTATATTCCCCATACAATTGTGGAGATGTTCTTAAGAAATTCAACAGTGATTACAAAATGGATAGCAGTGCTCACACTGTAGTATAAGAATCTCCTAGAGGTCTTGTTAATAGTCCTGGGATTTGGTCCCCACCCCTATGGTACTGTTTTATAGATCAGGGATGGGACCAGAGAATTTTTATTTCTGACAAGTTCCCAAGGTACACTGATGCTGCTGGTCTAGGCACTGCATCATTGTGAATCACTGTTCAAGATTAATCATTATATAACCTGCCCAGCCATATGCATTGACTTTGCTTCCATCTCTCATGAGTAAAGTTCAAGTTTTATTCACCTTGCTGATCCCAAAGTCTGACACATAATGCCATGCTCATAGAGTTATTCAATATATGTTGGGGGGGAATGTTTTTAGATAAAATTATTAGCATTTCCTACCGCTTCTTCCTCCCACATTACCACCCTGCATTTGTTTCTCTATTGTATTGTTTTCCTTTTTCTGCTATCCCTCCTTCCCCCGCTGGATTCTGAGAGCTTGTTTGCTGGTGGGCTTCTTTTTTCTTCTTATTTATGCCTGGGATTTGAAGCAAGGACAGGCTCAGGATTAGTGATCCAGTTGTGTGTCACTGAGCTCAGTCCAGGAAGGAGAAGACCTGAGAAGAGGATATTGGTCAATTTTTGTGTAGGGTTTGGTTGGTGGCACTGACATGAATAGTCAGGTGACAATTTGATTCTTAGATGTCAGGGTAGAGACTTTATTCTTTAGAATGAGAACACATTTGGTCAAACCCAACAAAATACTCTTCCTATGGTCCTTGCTTTCCTAGGTCTAGATACTCATTTACAAGATGAGACTCATTAAAAATTTGGAAAGCATGAAAAAAGTAAAAAAAAAAAAAAAAAGGTATCCATTTATCCATTTTGCCTAAAAACCCAAAGCATTCAGTTTTTTTTTTTTTTTATAGAGGCATGTTTTTATTTATTTATTTGTTTGCTTGTTTGTTTGTTTTGTTTATACATGCACTGAGTACAGTCAGAAGCGCTGGAGGGTGAGAGAATTCACCAGAGCCAGAGCGGGGAGCAGAGCAGGCAGAAGGACCGAAGTACACTGCTGAGGGGAGCAGTGGGTGGCAGGAGAGGTCTGCGCTCCATGTGGGACCCTCCTCTGGTGGCCGGGGAGCAGCCGGGGATTGAACCGGCGCCGCAGAGGCCGCGGGCAGCCTCACAACCCAGTGCTCTATGGCTGAGCCACCGGGGAGGCCCCTAAAGCATTCAGTTTTGGTGTAACAGTGTAACAGCCTTTTGTAGTTGTGCCTAAATGTTAGCTTATTTTTAATGCTTTTGCATTTAGTTGAATTTCTACATCTAGAAGGAAGATTACCTGAGGCAGAGGAAATTCTTGTGTTGAATTATAGGGTTATTCTCATAATGAATGGTAATGATTCATTACAAAATTATTTGCTTTAAAGTTTTATCGAGACGCCATTATAGAAATGAACAGCACTTCCCTTCTCTTCTTGCAGAATTGTTAATGTGACAAGTTCAATCAAGTATGTTACCCTCTGCATATACCTATGATAAACTGAGCATGAGGGCCCCTCACCAAGTCATTTGTCAATTTTACTGGTCTTGATTTCATAGTTTCTCCAAGTAAATTACTTCAACAAGAGTGGGTAGAGTGAGTTCCTGAATACATAAATTGTCTTTCTCCTGCCCTTACTCATATAACTCAGTAAGATTTAATCGTCATCTCCCACCCCATACTATAATACAAGTACACATATGACATATATGTCTCCTGCATGTACATGACATATAAATGCATATGTGTACATATAGGTACACATATGACATATATATGACATACAGGTCTTCTGGCCTTTCTTGTTACAAAGGAAGAATCTAATATAAGCTGGATTGTCCTGATTTTGTAGATAATCTTTTTGTTGTCAATTTTATTCTGGGTGCTCATATTTTCCTCCATTTCTGCTATTTAAAAATGGTAACAATTCAGAGGTGTAGTCCACTTTTTTTCTGATTTGCTTGTAATGAAACAATCCCTTTGGTTTTTGATCATTGCTTTTCTTAATAGTAATAATAGTGTTTAGATGACTGGGCATTTTACTGGACATTTAGCTAGAGAGACTAGGAAAAGCTAATCTACATGTAGTTTCAGTGATCAAGTAGACAGTTCAAATTAGTTCTAGGACACGTCTGAGATCTCTTTAATCATTTTGTGGCAAGTCTGGTGTCTTATTTGTCCAGTACTCTCAGAAAAAAACCCATTAATCTATCATGAAGTGGTTCTGTACTCCCATGTTGCTGCCTTCTCTCTGACCAACATCTGGAGTGACTGGAAAGGAGAGGATGCTTGGGCCTATACAAATTTGGGTATGCACCCCTCAGAACTAAACCCAAAATGGCATCTGCCCTACAAATGAATCTTAGTAACTAAGCTACAGGTCTAGTGTGTCCAAAACCACAAACTCATGTCAGACCTAAGTGTGGCCCATCAGGTGATTCCAAGTCAAATAAACTGAGCCTTAATGATTTGCTCTGAGTTGTTATTCAGAGGGATCCTTAAAAACAGAGGTTTGGTCACAGAAATCTTCTAACTATAAATAGGAGCTTAATTTTTGCCTTTTATTCTCAAATTTGAGACCTACTTGAAAACCTGCAGTTACAAGCTAATTAACTCTTCCCCCCACCCCCTCCCCCGCTCTTCTTTCTCTCTAGCGACATAGACATTATATGCTTTTCACCCCGCTGAAAAAGTTGGCTTCGTCAGCAATCATTTTCAGCTCAGTCTAAATTTATTTTTATGTGAAATAGAAATCAGGAAAACACCAAAATTATTTTAAGCAAAATATCAAAATTGAAATAAACCAACATATGTCTGTGAAACATGTATAACTCTCAATCAAAAATAAGTGCAACTTTCATAAATTTCTTAAAATAATCCAGCATGCAAAATCTGGACAACTTAAATAGATGGAGTTATGACATGTTTGGTTATTCTTTCTCCTTATTTCATCCTTTACTTAAAGATGAAAATTCAAATAACCAAATCTTGCTATTTCTCATCCTTTCATGAACAAGGTACTCCATCATCCATTGTAATAAATAGAGAATGAAGAAGTTTTATAACATTTCTTATAGTAAGGCTAAATTAGACTCACTAGCTTTGAATGGAAATCATCTTGAATTTACCTTCCTTACTTATGTTCTGTCCTATTCACCACCCTGTACATTTCTCCCTAAGAGTGAGATTTCTTAATCATTTTTAATGTAGTATGCTTTGTGCTGGTTAGGTTTTCCATATATATGTTTCTCTTGCAGAGGGAACTCAAATGGGGTAAAAACTGTCAAAGTGACAAATACCCTAAGACTCAGTTCAAAGAGAGAGTTAAAGGATAAATGCCCATCTCACCTTTATGCTTCATGTAGAAGCTTTTTAAAACACATTCTCTTTATTTAGATTGTCACTTCAAAGGGTGAAAATCACAATGACCTTATATTAGTAGCTGATATTTTGCCCACAGAAGACATTAACTAAATAGTCCCATCAATACATAGTATTGACAAGCTAATGAAGCATTTCTTGAAATCTTTGGCCTTTCATTTTAAATTATTCTCTTCATGAATTGGATAACAAAATTTCTTTTTAAAAAATAAGTAAAACTATCATTTTATTTGGAAAGTAATTTAGTACTAAGTGAATTGTCTTCCAATTTTCTTTTTGAAAGTGTGCTAAAAACTTCATCTATAGACTTGGTATTGCCCTATATGTTAATAAGGTTACTCTTTGATAGTTAAGGAAATTTATGATCATGATGACTCATTGGACACATGCCTTTTTCATCTCATACTCTTGGATCTTCAATTCACCTTTTTCTCATGCATTGCTTTGATTTTTTTTTTGTTAGTTTATTAGTTGTAAAAAGTTTCTTCCTTCCTGGCTCCTTCAATTTAGACCAATTTGGAAATGGAAAAGTGTGTTAATTTTTTAATAAATCTTTAAGACACGCATTACTGTATTTTTATTAACTGAGCCAGATGGCTCACAGCAAATTCTCACTGACATAAGTAATCACAGAAATCAGTTTGGGACCCAAATCTGGTATGGAAAGTGGCATGTATACTCAGTGGAAAAATGCAGTTCACATAAACCTATGGCTATTTTTAGAAGTAATATTTGTTACTATTTGGATTTCTATTTTCTTTTTTTTCCCTTTAGGCTAAGTACAGACTAAGGACATCCCCCCACACCCCCCACACCCCTCCCCCCATCCCCTAGACTTCAAACATTCAATGTCCTTTTCAACAACCAAAAATTGTTTTCTTTTTGCAGTTTGAAGGTTGCAAAAAGGCCTTTTCAAGGCTTGAAAATCTCAAGATTCACTTGCGGAGCCACACTGGTGAGAAGCCGTATTTGTGCCAACATCCAGGCTGTCAGAAGGCCTTCAGTAACTCCAGTGACCGCGCCAAGCACCAGAGGACACATCTGGACACTGTAAGAATGGCAGCAGCTTTCCGACTTCCAGCCCAAAGCTCCGGTGTGAGGAAGTGCCTGTTTGATAGTGGGATGGCGAAGGTGTTTGCTTTATGGTCTGCAGGTTATAAGGACAATGCCAAGGGCAGCAGTGGAAACTGGTAAAGGGCCAGAAGGGGCCCTTTTGGCTCTTTCCTCATATTTCTGTAGGTGAAAGTTATCCTAATTATTACAACTGCCTGGGACAAACAGGTTCCTTGGTTACTTTCTTATGCAGGGCAGAGGCAGTTTAGAGGCTGTCATACAATAAATTTTAATTCAGAGAATTACATCTAGGGATTGGGCATTAAAGTAAGTATTCAAATACACTAAATATAAAAATGTACTAAAATAAAAAAAATAAAAATATACTAAAATAGATTGATAACATATACGATTGCTAGAAGGAGGAAACAGTTTTTCCTTACCTTTGGTTCTTTTCTTCTTGACATAAGAACTTTGAGGATGGCATGGTTATTGGAATGAATCCGGCCTTTTGCTTTAGAAACCACCTGGTATTTTCACCTTCAAGCTATTTAAAAGAAATCAGCAAATCTTTCCCAAGGGCTCAGTTTCATCTCACTTCCTATGTGTTAACAACCACAGATCCATTGGCATAAACCCTATGAGAACAATTGATTTTCATTATTATGCCCTAACTCTCTTAGTACTGAACATTTTGCTCATTTGCAAATGCCTTTTCTACAACACTGTCTTTTATTTTCTCAATTATGTTGATCATCCTCCTTTGTATTTCTCAGGTTTTGATGCCATTTTCCTTACATGAAGCTAGATAGACTATATGTAATTTCACTTCACTTAACAAAGCCATCAGGATAAATGTATTATACACTTCACGGATCTCTTATCCTACGTTCTTGCAAATAATGTATTCATGACAGTACTTTTTCAGTGTTAACATTCTGATGTCTATTATTAAACTACACCAGTTTGAATTTTGAAAAGATACTGTTATTTCTACACACCTTCTCATACATATTTAAGATTCTTCTGATGTTATAGTTGACATATTTATTAAATTTATATTAATCTCTATTAGTCATATTGATAGAAGTCACTTTAGCTATATGTCACATAACCTTTCTAAACAAAATTACCTCATAATATGCATAAATTTGATGTGAATTGCCTAGTAAATATCTGAAATAAAATTAGAACAATATGGGCATAGGATGGCTATTTCTTCTCTAGTTTAATTGAATTCAGTGATTTTAAAACCAATAGAATATTAAATGAACAAATTTGGTGAATAGCAGGATTTTTTAAAAGCAAAAATAGGAAAAAAAGAATAAAGTTATGTTTAAATGCCCTATTTTGTATATATCTAAAATGGTCTTGGTAAAATCCAATAAATTTTCCAATTTGTCATTAAACTTCATCATGGAAGAATGAACATTCATGAGACAAGATTGTCTTGAGAAATTGCTTCTACTCTGGCTAGTTATCTGTAGTTTGAAAGAACTATTGTGAGGCTAAGTGTTATGGTTCTATAATATCCTTCTTTGCTTGGAGCTAATTTTAGCTAATCAAACTAAGAGCATTTTCTAAAATGATTTTGGAATTTAAAAATATGAGTCCCTTTTTAAAACTTTTGAGAAACACTGGGTAATAATTTCTTAATTCAGTTCAATGTAGTGGCTTTTTAAAAGCTATTTTTATTTTTTAAACTATATTTCTCTATTAAGTCTTTTAAAGACATTTTTTCCCTTATGAGCCAGATTATGTCCTGGTTAAATTTTTATTGCATTTAACAAATTGATAGGTTTTTTAAAAATCATATAGAAACTGAATTTTTTTTTTAAAGTAAACTGTAGTTGCTTAAGGAGTTTATTATTTAAATTTAGGTTCCAATTCCATTTCATTAAGTATCCTTATACTATTGCTGTCAAAATTTGGATATAGTATCTTTTTTCAATTAAATGGATTCTTTAGTTAAAGGAAAATGATTTTCCCATGAAGATACTGAATTCATAATTCTAACCCTGAACATTGTCACTTTTTCCTCTATTAACATTTTAATATCTAAACAGGGGAAATCATTTTATAATAAAAAATGGAAAATAATGTTTTATGAAATATAGCATGGCATTTAAAACTTAGGTAATCTGAGATAAAGTGACTTTCACCAATACCTCTTAGATCACCTCCCGACATTGCCATTTTGGCATACTGATACCCGGTTGCTGACAGTAGGAGAGTGAGTGCAGGCCAGCTGAGAGGATGGTGAATGTTCCTGCCTTCAAGAATATCTCAAAATCAGGGCCTCCCCGGTGGTGCAGCGGTTGAGCGCTGGGTTACGAAGCTACCCGCAGCCTCTGCAGCGCCGGTTCGATCCCCGGCTGCTCCCCACCCACCGGAGGAGGGTCCCACATGGCGCGCAGACCTCTCCTGCCGCCCGCTGCTCCCCTCAGCAGTGTACTTCGGCCCTTCTGCCTGCTCTGCTCCCCGCTCTGGCTCTGGTGAATTCTCTCGCCCTCCCGTGCTTCTGACTGTTCCCAGTAATTGTATAAAGAAATAAATGAATGAATTAATGAATGAATAAATAAATCTTAAAAAAAAATGAATATCTCAAAATCAAATATAAATGATATTACCCATTTTTATCTTTTCAACCCAAATAATAGTGCCCATGATAAGAATAATGACATTGATTTATAAAACATATTAATAGTCCCAAAACTTTTTTTACATGCAACATCTCTGGTGCTCAAAACATGAATTTATATGGTCACAGCATGACTGCCAATAAAGATATTGACTATCTTGACCTTTCCTAAATCTAGGGCAGGAGAGAGAAAGCTAATAAAAGAAATCAGATGAATTCAGAAAAGATTCTGAGGTTAAAGAAAAAATTTGCTCACCCAAATGGCAATTCATTGGCAAGTGACTAAGTCTAAATGGCTCACCATTTTGCAAAAACAGTAATCAATTGTTTGTTGTCAGAGCCTTACTATATAACACAGTGCCCAGTGTGTCATGGAAGCATCAGAGCTATTGGATTGTTCAGTCAGTCAGTCAATGAACAAACATATCAGATAGTCAAACTTCAAATTCAAATTGGGTGTGTTATATTAAATTATATACTGATGACTTTACCTTGTTCTTGGAGTCCAAAATGGTAACCAAAAGAAAGTGAATCATAAATATTTTTTCAATTAGGCAAATAATAGTAGCCTCATTATATGTTGGCCCACAAAAATGACAAGCATGCACATGAAAATGGGAGCAAAATATAAATAATTATTTAAAACTATGTTTTTTGGTCACTAGATTTCTGGATCAAGAATCTTATTTTGGAGACAGAGTTTCAGTTTTTTTTTTTTACATTTCCCATCATGTAGGGTACATTCTAATATAGTACCTGACAAGATAACTAAGGAGATGAGTGTCTGATAATGCATCTTATAACCACAGTTAATCTTGGATCTCTTTTTAGTTCTTAGAATAAGTAGAAAGTTTTTATTTATTTTAAAACTTAGAAGCCATACCGTTACTATGACAGTAAGAAAATGTGTAGTGTTCTCATTCATTCATTCACCCATATATCCTTAACTATTATAGGCCAGTCATTAAGGATACGGAAGTAAAGAAAATTCTAGACTCAACCTTAGCTTCCATACCCCACATATTTCAGGAGCATGAGGGAATTTTAGTAGTCAAAACTGCGTTCTCATTGCATTCAGTCAAAGGTTTAGCCTCATAATTCCAGCTCCCACCAAGACTCCTCTAAACTAATATTAATGTTTCTTTGGATGATTTTTTTTCACATGTCTCTTTGAAACCTACTGTTTCTAACTCACTTTTCACTAATTTTCACTTTTAATTCTCTTCCTCTCTGTTTCTGAATCAGGTTTCTTCTGAAACATTCCCAGTCTTTTCTGGACTTTTCTACAGCTCCTTTACCTGAACACTTAAAGAATATGTGTATTCTAGTTTCTGACACTACCAAAGATTGTTTTCAGGTGAACACAACTGTAAGTATAACTAGAGATGCTTATTAATAATTTCCACATCTAAAAATGCCATAAGAGGTTTATGGTAAGAGTATAATCTAAAAGCATCAAAATCTTAAAAGTTATCAAAGGTAGGCTGCCATCTCTTTGCTTCTTGAAAATTTATTGTCTTTGCCTTGATTCAAGTTTCCTATGCTTCTAATTAAAATGCATTTAATTATCCAGCGTTTCATATCAGTCAATTGGTTACAATTCATAGTCTGAAGTCTTTGAGAACATCTTCCCCAGTTACCTTTATGATTTAACTACAGCTGCTTCTTTCTTTCTTTCTTTCTTTCTTATTTAGAAACCCTATGCTTGTCAAATTCCAGGATGCACCAAACGCTACACAGACCCAAGTTCCCTCAGAAAACATGTGAAGGCACATTCTTCCAAAGATCAACAAGCAAGAAAAAAGGTAATTTTAAATGAGAATTTATCTAGGAAAAGCACCCTTAAATTACTTATGCAGTATTGGGAACTTCTGCAGGGCTTTGGAAATTCTTACACTTCTCAAGGTGTAACATGCTGGAGACTCTTTGAATAGGGAAGTCTTCCATGAAGTAATAGCAAGGCTAGGGGTTTGTCTAGTGTATGTAGTCAGATATGCATTTAGTAGAAGAGAATGTATAATAGGAATCAGAGAAAATTAGTGAAAGTCACCTAAAATGCAAAGTAACAAAAGACTTTCATGGAAATTAAAGAAAATTGAATTGAGAAAACAAATAGTTAAAGAAAATTTAATTGAGAAAACAAAAAACAAAACCTTCCCTGGACATAAGTGCTTTTTTATAAAATATCAATTGACTAAAATAATTTTAACCTTGATGAAAAAGGTAAGTGAGTCTCTTGGATAAGTAAATGTAGAGCATCCTTCGCTTAAAGCTTAGGGGAAAAAATTCCTTAGTAGACCTGTGTATGAAAATCTGCAAAAAAAATTGAACCTAAAATTACTTTGACATCAATGGGTTTATAAGCATCTTTCAAAGTTCATAGAAATCACAGTTGGAAGCTCAGTTGGAAGAAATGTTAAAGACCAACCATCCAACCCACCTAACTTGCTCTCCTAATCTCATAGTATAGCCAGTAAGTGGTTTACTTCAACACCTCAAAGGAGGAGGAGCTTACTACCTTTTAAGACATTTCCTGTTAACTGAGTTTGTAAATTTTGGGACCAACAAGTATCTTCTGACCATCATAGAAAACATGTTGACCTGACCTTTGACTTTTGAGCATTTCATTTGTGTTGAGATGGGTACCTGATTCATTTCATTTAGCAATCCTTCATGACAAAATTAAGAGAAGTTTAAAATTCAACTACTTCAAGTGATTGAATCCCATGGTGTGGTTGAAGCACATGGCCAAGTTTTTCAGGTCACCATGGGTTCTAGCTAGCTAGAATCTCACATTCTTTTGTGGTTTATAGTGATTTAACACTTTTATGTTGGGAAATGCTCTGTAGTCTTTTTTTGTTACTTGAGCTTTTTCTTCCTTGAGAGGTGTTAGCACAATGCCAGTTGAGGGCTCATATATGGAAAGAATTTGACCTCTTCCCTAGAGTTAAAAAAAAAATACCCAGTTAGAAGGATTTGATAGATATTCCTAATTGCATACAAACTTACCCTTCTAAGTCAGTTATTAAAAGAATTTTCCTCTAGTAATATAGCTAAATCTCTTTAATTGGAATCCCAGTTAATTGATAACAGATCATTATCAACAAATGATAATAGATGGTCATTTCACATGGATTGACCATGTTCTTGTATTTTAAAACAACAGAGGAACTTCTAAGTGAGTTAATAATGTAAATTATAAGGAGAATGCTTTATGTTTTTAGCAGAGTACTGTTGCATACTCTAAACTGTGTTCAGCAGGGCTGCAGTCTAATGGTTTTTGTTACTATCTGTGTATATCTTATAAACTTGAAGTAATTTGAATTTATTTAAAAAACTCTTGATGAAAGTTTTTTGCTACCTAAATGTGATCATTTGCCGCTTCCAAGTTGCCCCAAATGTGTGAAGTTTTACTGTTATAAGAAATCTATTGTAAGATTGGAGCACACTATTGTAAAGAATAATAACAATTTTTGTGAACATGATGGAATATAAGTTCCATATCTGATAAATAAGCAACAATGTGATATTTAGTTTGGATGGTAATCTGGGGAGTAGGTAGTAGGTTTGAAAACATAACAAGATATTTCAGGAATTGTTAATGGTTTCTAATATCAAGCCTAGTGTGTCTTAGCCTCTATATAAAGAAAACGTAGTTTTGAGTATGTGATACTTGAAATACTAATTTTAAAAAGAAAATCATATCCTGAAAAATATAAATTTTTAGACAATTTTCATATAACTTTCAACGGGCAGTCTAGATAATAAGAATATACTTTTGAGGAGCAGTGCTATAGTTTAATGTCAAATATTTCAATGTTCTCTTAATTTTGCCTTACATGAAATGAAGTATTATCTCTCAAATAAAAGCTTTTGACACTCTGTTTCCTGCAAATGGTTGAACTGGATTTGACTGATGTTCATTGACAAGGTTATGGTGTGTTTATATTCCAAATTTTAACCTCTTTAATCTGAAGATTTTAAAAGTACTTTATGAATCTATGAAGAATCAATTTTTTGAATTAAAATAGTAAAATTTGCTCCATACAGTAAAAAAAGGAAATGTTACTCCCAAGAGCAGCCATGCTAATAAACCTAAACTCAGTAAGTCTACATTTTTAGACCTTGTGCTGGTATACCGGTGTGTAATATTTACATGGTACAATGTTGTTACTAGACCTTGGAGAGATTCTAATTGCTAACTCACATCAGGGCTTGGTATTTGAAATATTTCCTGGCAGCAATAATAAAAAAAAAAGAGTAAGAAACAATAAACCTTTTAAGGCAGAATTAAGATTATTTACGACTTTAATTAAAAATTGAAAACTGGCATCATTTCAAAAAAGCCTTTACAAAATGTGAATTCATCAAAAATAACCATAAAAATTCCAAGGTGATAAAGGCACAGTGGAGTAATGGTCCCAGCCCTAGGGAATTGTTTTGTTGAAAAGAATAAAACCCTTTTCTGTCACACCCTGTTAGTCATGGACTCATTTAATATACCCTGCCTGCCTGCTTGTCTCTAATCCTCTTTTTAACCTCCCCCTAGACACTAAATGACATTATTTTGGTCTTAATGTTGCCGGCTTTCTAAGACCCTACTCTGAAATCAGGTCAGTGACAAGGCACCCTCAACTATAAGACACATATATATCACAAAGGCTGGGATCTCATAAGTGATGCCTTGCCCATAGATATGTGACCCTTTCCCACACCTGTTGGATTGTACTGAAAACCAAGAAGAGCCTGAAATCTCAGCTAAATATTATTCAATCTGTGAAAAGAAAGAAGTGAGTAGGGGAGGCTCTTTTGCAAAGGAACTGGGATAATTTGGCTCATTGTATGCAGAGAGAAACTTTTCTCTTTGCCTGATGTGTGCACACCTACACACACATCAGCTGATGTACAGACTTTCTTCCATCAATGTAGTTTGCAAACCTGAGTCCATTAAATACACAGATAAATGAATAGTGAAATATTCAAGTCACCAGCTGTGGTCTCACCAGTGGGAACGGAATCAATTCTGTCTGATAATGAGTGGTGAAATAAAACTAAAGCAATAAGGCACTTGAACTTTTCTTCAAAGCTGTGATCCTTAAAAATTTTCACTTTCACTTTGGAAGTGCCATAAGCAGGGGTTTTCCTTCAACGCAGGCCTGGTATCAAAATTGGCTTTTTAAAAGTGAATGCTTAAAAAATAAAAAGAGTACAGGTTAAAATTGAAAGGTGACACAACTTTCTTCTAATTCACACTTCCACAAAGATTCCAAACTTCAGCTGTGATTTCTTAAATGTTTGCTAAACATTCACCTTTGACCTACTGTGGCTTATGATTTTCACTTTTGCAACCTCAGTATAGTTTGTTTTAAACCAAACACAGCATTTGAAATGTGTGTGAGTGCAGTATGTATTTATAATTCCTACTTAAAAGAACAGTTCTCTATAGCTTTCTGGCTAAAATAAAGCAGCTTATTGGATGCAACTCTCTTGGTGTAGACTGGCAATTCTTTGGAATCTGTTCAGAGCCCATGTACCCAAGGTGATAAAATTTTCGTTAAATTGTACATGAGCTCATCTTTCTTTATACAGTTGTTGCAATCTTGAATAGCTAATGTGAAATAAATGTATTTTCTCCTAAGTGGAAGTGTGTATTGAAAGACCTAGTGGGTCTCACTTTTCTATCAGTTGTTTTCTATCATTTACACGGTAGACGGTATCCACAAGTGGGATACACATAGGAGGTCTTCCCTGATTTTGATAATCACCCTCATTCCCTCCCAGCTTTCCCTATACCTTCCTTCCCATAAAAATTCCAGAGTGATAAAGGTACTCCTTTCCTTTTTCTCTGTTCAAGAATAAATTTAAAATCACTATTGCGCTTAATAGAATATCGACCATAGTCACATATCGTGGGCTTACTATCTCAGGAAGAACTAGCTCCCCCTTTCCCTGTCCCTTGCCTCTCACATATAAGAAATCATGTTGGAATTCAAGTGAGAGTAATATTGTTGTAGGAATGATGTTAAAACAGTACTAATAGTTTTTTCCTTTTAAGTGAGTCCCTAACTTCTGTACTGACAAATTACTTACATCATACCTCAAAACAATTGTGAGAGACCTATTATTTTGCCTAAATAAACCAGTGCTTCAGTTGAGGGTAACTTATTTCAAGAATAATACTTGGTATGCTTTTATAAAAGAAATAATTTTGGTTAAAATAGTTACACTACCTTCTTTGTTTTTACCCCTCCCCTTTGGTGGTGGGTATACTGTGATGGAAGTACTTGATAGAAGTATCTAAATATTATACCTCAATTAATAATAAATAAACTAATAAAAAATAAAAATAGAATCATATCTCAAAACAGAAAGACAAAACAAAAACCAAAATAGTTATGCTAATTATGATTAAATTGAAATGATAAAAACAAGTCAAATTTAACCCTAAGCCAACAGTAGTGATTTGGTATTGAAACCAATTGCTGGCAATGTTCTATTTTAAGTAGACCCAGTGATTCCAGCTATGCTTTTAAGGGCATTCTAATGCTACATAGTGATAGGAGCTATTAAAAAATTAATTGAAAGTTCACATTTTGGGTGGGATGGTAGAAAAGTAAGAGCAGTTGTCCGTGAGAAGAAACAGTGAGAAAAAGCTCTGTTCCTTTCAGGAAAAAATCAGAAAAGCTATCTTTGTAACTACAGATAAACAAATACTAGCATCTCTGTACTTCGTAATCCAGTACTGTTTTTAGCTTGTATTACCGAGTATCTCATCAAACCACTCTTCTAAATTATTTGAAAAATA